GGAGGTATCGAATATTTTCACATGTGGTGGATACAATACGTGAATAGCGTGAGACCACGTAGTGTTTGAAGGGACTCCCGGCGTCTATATGCTCTAATTATAGCATTGCCATAGAAATAAATGTCTACTCTACCTCACCCTCACTCCGCCTTCTCCTCTCCCAAACCCCATCGCCTCCGTACCTGGCAATGCACGTGGCAATGTCGAGCGGCACGCGTGACTTCAACGCCAAGACCCAACCGTGCAATGACAGTGGCTAGTTCGCCCCCTCAGGCGGCGGCAGAGGGGATTGGATCCTGGTGCATGACGATGTCTTTTACCTTATTGACTCTGATGAATAGGTGAAGCCCTCAATCATGCGCCTCACATTGCAGAGTAGAGGGACTGCCACATCATTGGCCATTGCCGGTCGGGGCAAAGGCATGGCAGCGTCAACCACCATGAGGCGGGGCAAAGGTGCTAACATGAAGGATAGATCAGTGCTGACCACCAACAAGAAGGGCCCTTTGACCTCCGCGAAGCGAGCCAAAGGGCCAGCGGCGTCGACACTTACTAAGAAAGGTGGTCACCAGTGCAATGCGGATGCGTGATCGAGCAAGAAGAAGGTTAGCTGATCCCCTCCTTTGGTAGGGTTAGGGTTTTAGTGTTCATCAGATGTGTTCGCTTCCCTGCTCTTTGTTTGTTAGGGTTTTAGGGTCAGGCTTATGCATGTTTTTATGGGGCTTACGCATGTTTGTTCTATGAATGATTAGTAATAGAATGCTTGATCTGTTAGTGTTCCTTATTGACTGCTTGATTTATTCAAGTCATTAGACAAATACCTGAACCACTGTTTGGCTTATGCATGCTTATTATGAAAGATTAGTAATAGAATGCTTGATCTATTGGAATACCTTATTAACTGCTTGATGTCTTCAAGTCATTAGATAAGTACCCGAACCGCTGGTAGGCTTATGCATGTTTATTCTATGAATGCATATTCATCTCTTTACAGATTGGGTTCACAAAATTGGGTTAATGTAGTTGTAGAACACCGATTCACTGGTTTAATTTTAGGCAAAGAATGTGGAAGGTTGCAACTAACAGTTTTTGTGGCCTGTGCTGATATATTCTTATGGATGAGGTGGCAGTAATAGTTTTTTTGTTGGTATTGTTCTTCTGCCTTTAATTTGTTGGATTTTCATTCACTTCTATGATTACATGCTTTTGGTGTTGTTAAGTCTATGGCCTATGATGATATATTCATATGGATGAGGTGGCACTAGTTATTTTCTATTCACAGTGGTCTTCTACCTTTGTGAGGATTTGTTGGATGAGATGACATATTCAAAGTGCCGCCATAGGAGAAGTGCTCGCGCTCAGCAACCACAAGAGTCGCACCCGAACGGCCGCCGTGGTAGTCGAGGTCTGCACAGTATGTACAGTGGGGCCACCGTGTTGTTGGCTGCCTGGCCGTGGCTGGCGACGCCGCGCGACAGCGTGCTGTTGTGGCCGTCATGTTGCCAGTTCAAGCTGTCTTGCCATGGCTGCTTTGTCCACACGTGGCTCTGTTGTGTAGCTATGCTTGTGCTGCCGGTAGCATAACAACCTATAGGAATGTTGTAAGGCACGTACATATTTGCTAGTCTATAAAAAGAGGCATGGCCTCCAACAGTGGCTACATCGGCTGTCATACGGGTCGTTCTGGCAGAGTCGTCGTCTGCCTGGCAGGTGCAGGTCCCTGCAGGGGGGATCTAGGGCCTTATTGGTTAGCTTCTAAAATTTTTCATGCCAATAATTTGGCAAGCTATGATTTAAGCTAGTATTTGGTTTGCTATTAAAACTTACCAAACTCTCACAGTTGGTTTGCCAAATCTATAGCAATGTTTTTGCCCAACTGTTAACTTGCTAAATCTTTGGCGTCGTAAATTTTGGATATCAACCAAGTAGGCCCCTAATGCCAACAGCGGCGTGGCGCCGGCGCCATGATAATTTAGTTGCCTTTGCTGGTGAACTAGCGTTCGTGATGTGACGAGGTGTGGGTTCGAGGTATTGGTTCGAGGCATCTATAGCTTAGCTTCATGCAGTTTTTTTCAGGGGCTCAAGCGTTTCTACCCCTGTTTTAAAGAAAAAAGTTATTTTATCCTTGTTTTTTAACTGCTTTGCGATTTTACCCCTCTGATTTTAAACTACGAAGGGAGACTTTATCCCTATTCTATCATGTAATACAGTGCATTCTAGGAATTTTTAGACAAATTAAGAGAGAACACAAAAGACGCATGTACTCTCATTTTATTTTCTAATCAGACGCTATCATCAACGTGATTAATGGTAATTGGTTGAAAAATAAAAAGTATTTAATGCAAAAATAATTTTTATCCTCTAGAATGCAGGAGGCCGCGGCGTGGCCTATCCACCGGCCGCTGCCCGTCTGGGCGAGGACCGCAAGGCGCGGCACCCCTACCGCCTAGGTAGCCGCTCGGCTGCGCCGGGACGGCACGATGCGGCGCCCCAAGCCACCTGGGTCGCGGGGGAGGAGGCGGGGAAGAAGGGAAGGCGCTGGGACTAGACCTCCAGGAAGCGTGCCATCCTACACCACACCGATAGAAACCCTAGGCGGCGCTGTGCGTATTCATCCCGCCGTGACGCGTATTGCTCCGTGCGTGCGGAGAGGCACGGTTGAAGGAGAAAAACATGGGAGGGGTATGGTTGTCTTTTTGCGTGGGTGTTTTTTCTTTTTTCTTTTTTTCTTCCATTTAATCCACTCAATATATACGGTGTTACAAAGTAGGGGTAAACGGCTGCTTCATTTCAAAACAACGAGGGCAAAATCACAAAGGTTAAAAAAGTGAGGATAAAATCACCATTCAAGTCTGTAGTAGGGGTAGAAACACCAAATTCACTTTTTTTAACCGTAAGATTTAAGTATGCTTATTAGATAATCAGCAACATGGCGTGGATTATTAATTCGATGTAAGGATGCTAATTGCTGGTTCTGGTAGCTAGTAATGTCCAAGAACCTGTTTGTGCAGCTGTTGCACGTCCACTTGTCTACTCCTCGGCTCTCGCCTAAGACGTGTTTGCTCATGTTTATTTATTTATTCGTTGGGACGTGATAGAATCAGACTCGTTGCCTTGTTTTATTTATTTATTTGTTGGGCCAAGAGAGAACTATGTTGAATTGGAACAAAGAAAAATATTTAAAATGTACATTGTTTATGACATAATTTTTCTCGATAAATCCAATCTATTAGATCATCATAAAATCTAATGGTGGACCGATTAATCTCGTAATTTCTAGGTCCTCTCGGCGAACCTTTAGAATTCATTTGAACACTGTTGTGTTAATATAATAGATCATTAATAGGTGTTTGTTTTGATTGGGGGCAAGCCCATCATCTTCTCGCTTCTAACTTTTCTACTTGGTTTGTGCAATAAAATATATTGACCCATCACAATCTCACATCTTGTAAGCCAACCTATACCTAATATTAAATGGTCAAAAAAAATTATTCCATTCTTTTGTTCTGCTTGCCTCCACTCATTTTTTTGTTCTGCCTACCTCATCCTGCATTTTGGTCCCATTTTTTTTTTCTACGTGCCCCCTCCCACATTGTTTTGCCTGCTCCGTGTCCATGTCCACATTTCCATTTTTTTTTGCTTTTCTCCACTCTGTGACCGTGTTTCCACTCTTTTTTTTTTGTTTTGCTCATCCTCTCCATGTCCACGTTTTCGAAACTAATTATAATAAATACAACATTACAGGTCTTTGAACCATTGATCTTTCTCTAAGAAAGAGAGATTTTCACCACCAAATTATCGATATTGTTTGATTAGAAATAAAACTTATTTTTAGCCAAAAAAACTAATTGACCAATGCACCAACTAATCTAGTCATGAACTAACTTAAATCTTGAGCATTTTGTTGTCTAGTTCACTGTAAATAAATTTATATCTGCAATCCTCGACAAGGGCTGCGATGTGGAAAATTGAGAGAGGACTTCCATCATAATCATCGATGGACAAACCAATCCTTGACATGTCGTAACTAACTTCTTGTCAACTTTAATCAAAGATTAGAATTATATATTTTTATGGGCCCACGAAGAAAATAAGTCGCAGGGCTTGATATTTAACTCTAACAACATTGGATAATATGAAAATTAAAATTATGACATATTTACATCTAAATATTATTGTACTTTACAATGGGAGGAAAAAAATCTATTAACAATTGTATTCTAATTTGATATAGACTTAATAGAAAGGATGAAACATAAATAGATATGTATCATTCTCATTGTCGTTTTTCATTAATGTTTCGATAGTTTTTTCTCCCATTACAACGCACGAGCATGTTATAGATATAATTATTAGCCTTTCGTTGTATATATTATATCTTATATACATGTGGTCTAGACAACATTTGGGTGAACTTGAGACAAAGTAATATTTCTATACATGAGGCAAACAAATTTCAGCTGTGGCACAGAGATGTAAAGCCAAGGTAGCAGTGGCAATACATGCAAAAAAAAAAAGAACAATCCAAGTTCCCCATCACCCCTTGCGCTTTCGATCACCAAAACCCACTGCCACCCAATGTGGCAAGTGGCAACGTTCCACTCAAACCACTCGCTGGTCCCGCACCCAGTGGCGCGCATCGGAGACGCACGAAGCGACACACGTGTGCCTGTCCACACGCGATCCACTGAAACGCTTTTTGCATCCCCTCCCTCCACCATGCATGGCACGCGTGCGGGTGGGCCCCGGGAGGCGATAAGCTCCAGCGCATCGTGCCCGCCCGTTTCGAATTCACGCTTCCCAACGGTCGCGCCACCCTCTCCGCCTCCCGCACCCGCCGTCGCGCACCCGCCGCCCACTGACCGCTCGGTCTCCCGCCGCCGGGACCCAGGCGTCGGTCACCCCGGCCCCGAGCTATTTAGGTGGCAGCCTTGCCGCGCCGACGGGGGCCCGAACCCTAGTGGTGGCGGAGCTTATTAGGGACACGTCACCCGGCGGCCATGGGCAGGAGCAGCAGGAAGGGCAAGTGCGCAGCCGCCGTGGCTCCCGCCGCCGACGACGCCGACTACGCCATGGCTTCCGCGGAGGCGCCCGGCGGGGAGCATCATCAGGCACCGCCGCCGGCTCCCGCGGAGGGAACCGACGCCGGCGAGGCCGCCGCGGCCAACGGGGACGCGACGGCGGTGGAGCTGGACGAGCCAAGGCGGGACTCTTCGCCACCGGAGAGCGGCGACGTGGAGGCCGTCGCGACGCTGAAGCGCCTCAACGGCATCCTCGTCAGCGCGGCCGCCGAGGAGCGGAAGCGGGTGGCGGCGCTGGAGGCGCGGCTCGCCGAGCTCGCCGCCGACGCCGACGCCGCCGCGCTCGCGGACGCGGAGCGCGCGGTGCTGCTCATGGCCGTCTCGGCCCCGCTCAGGGCCGCGGAGGAGGAGCGCGCCGCGCTGCTGGAGCGCCTCGCGGCGGCGCGGGACTCGCTCGGGCGCGCCCAGGCGGAGGCGGCGCGCGAGGCCAGCGCCGCCGCCGAGGCTGCGGAGAACGGGCAGCTCTCGGAGCACCTTCGTGCGAAGGAGAACGAGGCGGAGGCGGCGGCACAGGAAGTCGCCCGATTGGAGGCTGTGGTTGCCGGATTGGAGGCCCAGAGCTCGGACCTGCGCGCGGAGATGAGCGAATTGGGGAGCCAATTGGAGGCTATGACCGCGTCAGCTCGTGATGTCCAATCCCAGAAGGAAGTGCTGGAATCAACCTTCAACGAGTTCAAGAAGGAAGGCGAGGTTTACAAGCAGGAGATGGAGGTGAAGCATGAGAATCAATTGAAGGAATTGGAGGCTCTGCAATCCAGGAAGGTGGAATTGGAGACGAAGGTGGATTCTTTGGAGGCAGAGCTCTCAGCGGCTGTTGCTAGGAACCATGAATTAGAGTCTGAAGTGCACAAGATGGAGACGGAGATGGCTGCTACCAACGAGGAGGTGGAGAAGCTCCAAACCTTGCTTGCGGAGCTGGATCAGAAGCAGATTGTTGTGGTTGCTGAAGTGGCTAGGCTCCAAAGTGAGATTGACCAAGTGGTGACGACGAAAGAAGCAGCTGCTGCGGCACACGACTCTGAGAAGAAAATGATCCAGGCTGAATTGGAGATGCTGAAAGGGAGCATTGACAGGATTCAGGCTGAGAAAGATGATGCTTTAGGCATGGTACATGCTAAAGATGCTGAGGCTGCAAAGTTGAGGGATGAACTGAAGAAGCTCCACAGTGAAATGGCTGAGCTGCGTGCTCTCTGCGATGATCTTGATGGGAAGTCTTCCTCCCTCGAAGATGAGAAAAGTTTGGTTCTGAAAGAACTTGAGCAGGAGAAAGCTGAAGCAGAGAAGCTGAAGTTCAAAATTCAGGAGCTTGAGTCCTATAACAGAGACAATGATCGTGAGATTGGGGTACTGAAGTTAGATGTTGCAGACAGGGACAAACAAATCAATGACTTGACTGGGGAGCTTGAGCAGCTGCAGCTTGCAGTCCCCGAGGCGGATCGCAGGGGGAACAATGTGGTCTGGAAGTGGCTGGGTCCGGCTACCACAACCGTGTTAGCAGCTGCTTCCTTTGTCTACGCCGCACGCAGTCGGTGAACAGCTAGCTCTTTCACTCGCTTTTTGTTCACTTGCTCGAAATAATCTGGGCTCTTACTCATGAGTCATGAATCATGATACTTGGTATATCGTGAACTGCTTCTTATATACTATGAAATAAAGCTATGTTCAGACAATTTTTGTTTTCATCAGTCCTATGGGAAAGAAATGCTTGTTGGTCAAACTTGGCACTTGGTTTTTAGCCTTAGTAAGGTAATGGCATAGTTGCAGACAGTTGGGTTGGTACACGAATCTCATTTAGGATTGACTTAAGAAAGGATTCAGGGATTTAACATCAGATATTCACAATGTGGGTAGTTTTTAAACAAATTATAAAGATATGTAGTTAGAAGATTCTAAAACATTTAATGTAAGCTTACTAGCTTAGAGTTATGTCTGCTGGCTTCTGCACAGGTCCTTGTTTGATTGGTTAGAGCAAGGCTAATAATACAGCGGACTGTTGGCTGTATGAAAACTTCCAATCTATCAGCCCACTCGTCTAATAGTTAGCCGGCTTACAGCTCACTTGTCTGTCTCACATAACTTTCTTGGTTCCTGTGCATAAGCTGGCTATAAGTTTACAGCCCGCTTCTCTCCTTCCATCTCTCCTCCACATCAGCATACAGCCTGCTTGCAGCCCCTTATTATACTTACTCTTAGAGTGGTTGCTGCTCCATCGCACATTAAACAGACAGAACATTTTTTTTTTTCATCGAGACAGAGCCTTCTGGATTTTTAGTCAGGTACAGCCTTTTCTAACCATTCAACAATAACAAAGCAGGTGTGGAGGCTACGATAAAAACCAACAAGAGCCACATGAATAGGAAAACACAGTAATATCATTGGGAAGTTTTGTATTTCCTTAAAGCACAACCATTTTTATTGTCTCGCTTCTTTTGCATAGAGTTTAGATTAGTTGCGAATTTTAGTTGTCAGTTTTAGCACAATTCAAAGAACTCAGTTTTCCACAGATTCTATGGCTTTTTGGCCTTGTCAGGCTGCTGTAGGACATTGACGGTTAATGTTAAGTCACAACTGATTGGATTCTCCCTTGCCCAAATGTCATAACTAGCAATATATTTTTATACCGTCCTGTTAGTATGAACAATTGTAAACATGGCATTTGACATTTGTAACTCCTGCTATTCCGGTGAAGTCTGAAATTGAGATGGATTGAACAAATAAGAACTGTCAGTATATGAATTTGAAGTTAGCTTGCTCTTGCTCTTTTCCTTGTTGTTTGATCACTGAAAAGACTAACCTTAATGCATCTGTCAAGTGGTGCAAGTAAAGAAGTGACAAGTGTGTACACCGTTACTTCCGAATTATGTATAACCTATATTCAACTATAGATAAGCATCTGTTCTCAGATTCTATATACAAACCTCATGTTGTGCATCAGATATCTTGGAAAAAAAAGCTATATATATGTTATTACTGGGCTAACAAAATCCCTAATTGCTGGTTTCAGAACATCATCAATTTTTCAGTTGTTTTGCTTGAGCATCCTCCTCCGGCAGAACAACTCAATCCTGTCGCAGGCTTCTAGTATTAAATTGACAGGTGCTCCGAAAAATATTCTAACCCAGTTCTTCAACCCAATGATCGAACCTGTAAAATAATAAGAAACAAAAAGGTTATTGAAATTGTCACTACAGATCAATTTAAAGTAGATTAAGCATGCCAGTATGAAGACTCTTGTACTAGAATAGCAAGTTAACCTATAACAAATATTTAATTTTCAGCAGCCAGAGAAACCAATGCACCTATTTAAGTTTGGATAAATAATATTGCAACAAATCAAGTGAACTATACCAGGTAGAACCAGGACACATTCTTCTTTGATCAATTCACGTGCAAAGTCCATGTCATCGGCAACACCGCATAGAATTGAAGTGTTGATCTCAACCTGTAGGATTTCGTGAAAATCAATACTTTGTATTATTGGTAAGTAACAAAGTTTTGAATAATAAATAAATCTTGTGTATCTCTGACTAACCATGATAAACATTGAACCCTCAGGCTTTGAGTAGCACTTCAGGGCTTCAATTTGGTTCACTCTTCTGTACAGAGCGTCAGCAGCAGACTCAAGGAGGTCAACAACATTCCTGTGGAACTCCTGATGTTCAACTGAAATAATCTTCGGAACTGCCGCCTATGTGTCCAAAAATTTTATCTGCATCAGTATGTATTCACTTATTTATATGCAGAGCTATTTTCAGCAATTGCTTCCTGACCTGAACTATGGAGGCAGGTCCAGAAGTCACATTCAGCAGCCTCTCGGTCGCAGTTCTAACCTTTTGAAGATCAAAATTATGAATCGACATTTGAACATATATATACAGAGAAATGTGAAGACATGGCAAGAGCCAAGTGCCTTACATGCTTGAGTGCGCCGTTAGGATCACAGAAGGCCAACCAACCAAGACGCCATCCTGGTAGCATGAATCTCTTTGACAGAGCTCCGATGGTGATAACCGGCGCAATGTGCGCTAAGGAGGCCATCGGCACAAACTTGCTGCCACCAAAAACCATGTGTGCATATACCTCATCTGCTATGATTGGAATCCCCAAATCTCTTGCAGTTTCAGCAATCTGCAGCATTCAGTGATATGAAGTTTGTAATCAGAGAGATATCAACTGTGCAATTTTGCTACATGGACATCAAGATTGTATATACCAGCATGAGGTCTACTTGTTCCTAGTATTTGTAGAGGTAGAAACTTGTTTTGATAGATTCTTAGAAATATATACGGATAATTCATGAACTACCACTGAATGACTGAACTTTGCAGTTGAACAATCACCTCACCTGTAGAAGGTGCTGAGCTGAGTAGACGACGCCGCACGGATTATTGGGGTTGATGACAACGACGGCAGCCGTGGCGGAGTCAGCCAGCGCGCGGACGCCGGCGAGGTCGGCCTCCCAGCCACGCCGCGGCAGCAGGTCGTAGAACCGGGGCTCGGCGCCCGCGATCTCGCAGGCCGCCTCGTACGGCGAGAAGCCCGGGCGCGGCAGCAGGATGTTGGCCCCTGGAGCCCCGCCGAGCACCGTGGTGATGGCGGCGATGGCGCCCGTGCCGCCCACCGTCATGAACACGTCGGCGTCGTGCGTGCGGTGGCGCGCGCCCGCGGACAGGTACTCGGCGACCGCGCTGTGGGTTGGTTAGTTCAGCAGCACACGGAGCAGAGCGCACGTGCACGGAAGAACGTGGCATTAGTCAGAGATGGCACCATGCTCGGTAATTATCTTGAGACTATCAATGTGCACGTAGAATTATTTCGGCTTGAAAAAATTGGAATTTGTGCATTCTTTTTTTTTTTTTTTTGCATTGTCACGAGTAGTGCAATTTAAGGCGTGTTTGGCAGAGCCTGTAAAACAGATTTAGCTATTACTTCTCCTGTGAAACATGTTTTCTTGACTCCTTTTTAAAAAAAAGCTTTTTTTCTCCGACAAAGCTGAAGTGAAAGGTGCGGACTTCAGTCTACAGAAACTGGAATAGTGTTGAGAAAAGAAAAGCCATGCCTACTGCTTCGAACTTTGCTCTGTTTTCCAACTTTTTTTTTGCGAGGTCATTTCGCAGCCACGTGTTGCCTATTTAACAAAACGTGGTCGGCAACTGCACTGTACAACTACCTTGCAGTTTGTAAAATAAAAAAAAAACGAGCTCGAATATGGAAATAAAAATGCTGTGTAAATTTGCAACTGAGACAGAGATATCAGATGCGGAGTTCATTTTCGGTGGACAGTGTTTTTTTACTCCACGTAACTTCTTAGGCTTTTACCAGTGTGCCATTATAAAAGTTGGTAATTATCTATAAGTCATTAAAAAAGTTGAGTTCTCACAGGTGCTACTGCTGTGAACTCTTTTGCCCTACACGCAATTTCCGTCAGATTTGGCTCTAACGGTGTCAAACTGCGGTTGTGAAAAGTCCAAAATACCCTCAGGTCAGAATATGCAATTAATTTTTTTAGACATCTTAATGACCTCAAATGAAAAAACTCAAAACTAGAAAGTTATAGATCTCGATAATATCTATAATTTTTGTATAAAAATTATCTTCATTTAATTCTATAAAAAAATATGATTTGATATTATTAATGTCTTAGAAAAATCACAATTTTTTTGTAGGGAATCAAATGAAGATAGTTTTTATAAAAATATTGTATATCTCGATGAGATCTACAACTTTCTAGTTTTGAGTTTTTTCATTTGAGATAATTAAGATCGTAAAAAAATTAATTGCATATTTGGATCTGAGGGTATTTTTGACTTTTCACACCCACAGTTTGACACCGTTAGAGCCAAATCTGACAGAAATGACGTGGAGGGTAAAAAAGTTCAGAGCAGAGGTACCTAAAAAAACTCAATTTTTTTAATAGACTATAGATAAGTACCGACTTTTATAATGGCGCACAAGTGAAAGCCTCTAACTTCTTTGTCCGTGGAGATCGAATCTGGGTCAGATTGTGAGGGAAAAGTTAAAGATGCTGACAAACCACGTGGTTCGAGGTCCTGGTGCCACGTGGACAGGACTGCTTCCGTTGAATTGAATATACATCTACTGTAGCACTTTGCTTTGACAAAAATGGGAATTTGCGTGCAATGCATGGGCCAGGTTTCACGGTGTGGTGTATGTACGTGACTGGTGCACTGCAGCCATATGTTAGTGCCATCCTGCTCGTTTTTTTTAACACAGGCTTCTGTAGATTAAGCATGTTAATTAATAATTTAGGTCTTATTTAGTTGCAAAGAGTGCGTGTAAAGTTTTGGGATGCCACATCGGGTGTCACATGGAGTTATCGCATAAGTGTTCGGATACTAATAAATAAACAATTTACAGAATTCATTAGTAAACCGCGAGACGAATTTATTAAGCCTAATTAATCTATCATTAGCACATATATGACTGTAGCACCACATTGTCAAATCAGGGTCTAATTAGGCTTTAAAGATTCGTCTCGCAAAGTAGTTACAATCTGTATGATTAGTTATTTTTTTAGGCTATATTTAATACTCCAAACATGTGTCTAAATATTCGTGTATGTGTCCTAATATTCGATAAGATATGATGTAAACTTGTGGATGAAAAACTAAACAAGGCATGTGAGTGTATTTCTCGTTGAAAGTTTCGGTTCAACCGATGGTTTTGTCACACACACACACACACACACACACATATATATATATATATATATATATATATATATATATATATATATATATATATATATATATATATATATATATATATATATATATATATATATATATATATATATATATATATATATATATATATATATATATATATATATACACACACACACACACGTAGCTTAGACTGGTACGGTTACACATTGATATTTTGATATTTTTGGAAAGAGAGATGGAACACCATATATAGCGCCGTTCCTATCTTTTGCCGGACTGCTGTGATGTACTCTCTCTTCTCAAATATACACGGCATTCTACAAATTCTGTCGCGTATACTCCGTTCGTCCTAGAATACTCCATTCCTCCCAAACAAAATGTCATTCTCGCTTGTTAAAAGTTAAAGTTTTTCAACTTAAAAATATATTAATATTAAAAGTTAAAGTTTTTTAACTTAAAAATATATTAATATTTATAGTACATAATTGGTATAATTGATAGATCACTGATTATGTTTTCATAAACTTATTTAGATATACGAAATTTACTAATATTTTTATAAATCTAGTCAAACTTAAAATAAATGATAGTATATGTAACTAACCCTTCTTTGGATAGTAATAAACATGAATATTAATTAAGCATGTGAGTAGCATTATCTTTTTAGACTCAGTCAGCCCAAATAGCACGACAAAGAACAGGAATAAATCTTTTTTTTTTTAAATGAAACAATGCGTGCGAAAATTACGCAGGAACGCGGACAGCCACACAAACCGATCAAACGGGAGACTGACGACTCACCGGCGGGCGGCGGGGAATCCGTGGGACGGCGCGTAGCAGTCGAAGGCGCCGGACCTGGCGGCGTCGGCGCCGGCCTCGGCGGCGAACTTCCCGCCGCGGCGGAAGCAGGCGTGGGAGGACGCGTCGCCGACGCCGAGCGAGATAAGGCTCTTGCCGCCGCCGCCCTTGCCGCCGGCTCTCCCCGCCATCGCCAGCAGCTCGCCCACCACGCCCCTGATGGACGCCTTGCGCCCCGGATGATCCGCCAGCGCCGGGTGGCACCGCACCGCAACCGCCTTGCCTCCGCCGTTGGCGACGGCGCTGGCGATGGCCTTCCGGCGGCTCTTCTCCTCTAGCTCCTCCCGCGCAGCCCCCTGCTGGTGAACAAGATAATAACGCGCGGCGGCGGCTCAGCCATGCATGCATGATGGGGTGCCGAAAGGAAGGCCATGATTGAATGTTCCATCGCAGATGCATTCATGCTTTTGGCACGCCGTACCTGATGAGCAGTAGGAGCCATGGGAGATCGAGAGAAGGCCGATCGAGAGAGACGACGATGAGATGTGTTGGGACTTGCTGCACGTACGCACAAGTGCACAAGTGTCCAAGTCACGGACTACGGGAGGCTGTGCGAACTCGTCCGTGTGGGGGTGTATTTGTGGGCACGGTTGTGGCCCAGAGGCACCGGTGACCCGGAAACTCGGCATTCCGTTGGCTAGGTAGCATCGTCGTCGTGCAGGCCGGGTTTTCAGGGGGCAATTTTTTTTTATTTTTTAATCATTTTTTATTTAATATTTTAATAATAACCGCTCAAAAAATTTACAGATCTGACTCTTTTGGTTGCGCAAGTTCCGCTGGCACGACCAAATAACGTTGTCGTGCCAACGCATGTGGCGTGACAAGATTTGCCACATTGGACGGCGTTTCCAATGTGGAAAAGCTTGACGCGCTACTCCTGTTGACGTGACAGTATTATTTTGTGACGCCACCAGGAGTGGCGTGATAAGACTGAACTTTCAAAAAATCACAACTCTTTGTGAAGACGATTTTTATATAAAAATTGTAGATGTCGACGAGACCAATAACTTTCTAGTTTTGAGTTTTTTTTTGTTTGAGGACGTTAAGATGATCAAAAAAATAATATAAAATTTCAGCACCATTATAATCGCGTAATAAATTTGCCGCATTAAGAAAATAATATCTTTTTTGTATGGAGTCAAATGAAGATACCTTTTATACCAAAGTTATAACTCTCAATGATATCTAAAACTTTGTAATTTTGATTTTTTATATTTGATATCATTAAGATGCTCAAGAAAATAATATAAAGCTTCAACAATGTGCGTGCACAATGGCTTGTCGCCTCACAAAAATTATATTTTTCTTGATAGGTGTCAAATGTGGATACCTTTTATACCAAAGTTGTAGCTATCGACAAGATCTACAAGCTTTTGGTTTTGAAGTTTTTTATTTAAGGTCGTTAAGATGCTCAAGAAAATAATACAAAAATTAAGATGTATACTAATTGTCGCGGGGTCGAACCCGCGTCAAACATGTTGTTCGAGTCGGTGTTAGAGTACGAGTCTCCGGTGATTCGGGTGGACTCAGGAACACAACAATCACGCAGAGGAGACGCAACGGTTTATCCTGGTTCGGGCCAATTCGGTCCCTATGTCCAGCAGCTGAGGATCCTTATACTCAAGAGCACCCAAAATCACGGGTTACAACAGAGTGTAAAGGAAAAAGATTTGGTAGGCGGTTAGCTCGATACTAATCCTAAGGTTACCTCGCCGCCGGTGGAGCCTTCACCCTCGTTGGAGAGGAGAAAGCCGATAGGATGCCCTGGAGGGGAGGCTCTCGATGCCCCTCTCCAGGCTGCCTTGCCCTCTGTGCATAGCGGAGGCAGATGGAATGGAATGTCTGTTGATCGAAATGGGATCCTCCCCCTCTAGGTCCGACCTTATCTCTTATATAACGAGATAGGTCGGGTACATGGCGGTTTAGGGGTTTAGTCTACGGTCTACGTGCGCCGGAGTCCAGGAGGGTCTTGCAGTGGTGCGCGCGTGGACCGTGGCGGTGTCTTGGCGCCGAAGAAGCCTTGGACGTCGTTCGGCTGCTCTGTTCTAACACTCTGCGTGTCAGGCGGTGTTAGCTTGGACCGGCCTCCCCTGGGTGAGACCTTCTGCAGTCTTCTTGGTCGTGGAGGAGGTCAGTTCTAGGGTCTGACGCGCGGGCCTAAAAGCCCGTGAGCCCCCGGAGGACGTGGGAAGCTTTGTCATCTTGTGTCACCCCGGACATGACCCTATCAGAGGAGCAGTTGGCAGGACCGCATCTGGGGAGCGGTGTCAAGGAGCCCCCAAGCATCGGTTGCTCGGGGCTTGTCTTCTTGTGCCCGGGCCTTGGCTGGCGTTGTGAGCCGGGCAGCAACCAAGGGCCGGGCTTTGTCATGCCGTAGATCGGGAGCCCAAGGCTCGGGAAGCCCCTGAGCCCTAGGCGAAGGCTACGGTCGAGGCAGGCTCGGCCGGATCTCTTTGCCAGAGGGTGCACGTGAGCATGTCCGATGGGCATAGCCCCTGAGCCCCCGGGTGATCCTGAAGGGATCGGTCGGGGGTCTTCTTCATTTGGGAACCATTGGATCTCGTCACTAATCTTGTACCATACTTTTTTTAGAAAAAATAATATATTTTCATTTAATGTTGAATAAATACAGTTTTTATATGAAAGGTTTAGCTCTTGATAAGATCTATATCTTTCATTCAAAAATTATTTTAATGTGTCATCCTATACGAAGTATATGTTTTTTTGAAAAAAAGGTAAGCTTTGGTACACAATTAATATGTTTCTTAAATTTTATATTATTTCCCTGAACATCTTAACGACCTTAAATGAAAAGATTTAAAACTAAGAAGATGTTGACCTAATTAATAGGTATAACTTTGATATTAAAAGTATCTTCATTTGACACTTTTCAAGAAAAATATATTTTTTGTGAGACAACAAGTCATTATGCACGATTAATATGTGCTAAAACTTTATATTATTTTCTCGAGCATCTTAACGACCTTAAATGTAAAAACTCAAAACTATAAAATTATAGATCTCATCAATAACTACAACTTTGATATAAAAACATATCCTCATTTGATACATATCAAGAGAAATATTGTGAGGCCACAAGCCCTTGTGCATAATTAATATGCTGTTGAACTTTATATTGTTTTGTCGAGCATTCTAACAATCTCAAATATAAAAACTCAAAACTATAAAGTTGTAGGTATCATTGAGAGTTACAACTTTGGTATAAAAAATATCTTCATGTGACTCCATACAAAAAAGATATTATTTGTTTAATTCGGCAAGATCGGGTACAATGTACAAGAGTGCTGAAATTTTATATTATTTTTTGAGCATCTTAATTTCCTCAAACAAAAAAAACTCAATACTAGAAAGTTGTGGATCTCGTCGAGATATACAATTTTCATATAAAAATTATCTTCATCCGATATCGTATTGAAGGGTTATGATTTTTCAAATTTTCAGTCATGTCACGCCACTCCCGGCGGCGTGACAAAACAATACTGTCACACCAACGAGAGTGACGCGACAAGCTTTTCCATGTTGGAAATGCTATCCAATGTGGCAGGTCTTGTTGCCACATGCGTTGGCGCGACAGTGTTATTTGGTCACGCTAGTACCACTGCGCGCGACCAAAAGGGTTAGATTTGTAAATTTTTTCTGGATGTGGCGTGACCAAAAGGGTTTGATCTGTAAAAATTTTCTAGAAGCGGTTATTATTAAAATATTGAATAAAAAGATAAAAAAATGCTTTTCAGTGCAGCCATGGATGAGATCGATCTGTCCTGGGTTGTGTAGGGAGGGAGAGGCAAAGATGGAGAGCCGTGTTTGCTGCCAACTGCCAAGTTATGGATGGGAAGGCGAACAGAGGCACGTAGAGAAACGACCTTTGATCCCGCCTCAAAATTTGGCTTTAGTCCCGGTATTTCTTGCGTCCGGGAGTAGAGAGACCTTTAGTCTCGGTTTGTAGCTCCAATCGGGATTAAAGGTCCCTGCCCAACGGCTACTACAGCAGGCTTTTGCTGCAGGGGACCTTTAGTCTCGGTTGGAGCTACCAACTGGGACTAAAGGTTAACTTTTACTCTCAGTTAGTGCCTCCAACCGGGAGTAAAAGTCTACTCCTGACTGGAGGCACCGTCCGGGACTAGAAATGGACCTTTAGTCCCGGTTTCTATCTCCAACCGGGACTAAAGGTACCCTCCTATATAGCCCTTGTTCCTCCCCGAGCCCGAGCCACTTCGAGCTCAGTGTTCTCGGCCTCTCTTCTTCCTCATCACCGGTGTATCAAAAGATTTCTTCCATTCCTCCATCGGTTCTAAAGGTTACCAACTTTATACTCTCGTGTTTCATCTGTAGCTTATTTCATTTTATGGACTAGATATATGTGGTTTTTTTATGGTAGATTTTTTTATTTGTAAGCCATTTAAGCTCAAAATCACTTTAAAGTTTGCGTATTTGGATGAAGGAAGGTTAAAGTAGTTATTCAAAACTAGTATTGAGCTTTCATTTCTAGCATGCATAGCACACTTCATACTTTAGAGATATAGAGAATTTTAGAGTTTTTTTAATTTTATTTGTTTATAAAATGAGAAATATATATTATATTAAAAATGAGTATAGATAGTAGATGGTAACTACTTTTGGGTCCTCAGCCTCTCATCGGGTTACATAGCGACTGAGGCTAGACCTTCCTCTCATTGCATGCGGCAAGTGTGAGGAGAAGATTGTGATGGAGTACCGGGTGAGGAAGGAGTGTCTCAACAAGGGCCGTATCTTCTACAAGTGTCCGGATCGTAATGTGAGTTATTTTGTCGCATTTGATGATTATGGTTAATTTATACTTATTTTCATGATGATTGTAATTAAAGTTCTAATTTTTTATTTTAATTTCAGTGGGATGGCACTGGATGTTCAGGCTGGTATCGGGAGGAAGAGTATGTTGAACACGTGCAAAACTCTCTTGCACAAGCGGCTATGACGGCTGATGAGGCAGTGATCCTGTGGAAGAAGCCCATAGATGTTGAACAAACGCATGATCTATCTGTTTTAGTTGGGATTGGTCGCGAAATCCTTATGTTACTGAAGTGCATTTTAGCTTTAGTTTTTTAGTGGTAGTTGGGATTGTCTACATTGTAGCGAGACTTTCATAAATTAATACCTTGTGTGGTGGCATGCATGTCGTATAATTAACTAATTATGTTCTAGGTTTTAATATGGTGTGTATGTCATGTAATGCAAATGAGCCGGCATTGGATGTACAATGCTGATCGCCGCTCCCAAAAGTTCATTGAGGGCGTGCATTCTTTCTTACGTGTGGCCGAGGCAAACAAACGCGATGGTTTCATGTGCTGTCCATGTGTCATATGTAAGAATTTGAAGGAATATGCTAGCTCAAGGAGTCTTCATTCACACTTGTTGAAGTCGGGTTTCATGCCAAACTATATT